ACCCCCCCATTTTGACCCCAATCCCTCCCCTCCCGCCACCCACCCCCCAAAAAGTGTCTCTGGTTCATAGTTTTTTGTTGATTTTGATTTTCACTTTCTTATAGTTATTCATTTTCCTGGTCCCTTATTTAAGTTTTCTAGATCCCTGCTATGAGTGAGACCATCCGGTATTAAGAAAAAGTATATTTTAGTCTAACATAGGGGAAAGTAGAATAATAAAAACTAATCCGTTCAAAATAAGGCAGGAAAGAGGGAAAATGAAATAAAACGGGCAGGAAACATAGAAATCACATTAAAAATAAGTGAGCTAAATATTCCTTTTACAAGATAATGATTTACTGGGAACACATTTAAAATAAAAGGCTATTGGAAGGTTGAAAGTAGAATGGGAAAAGTTGTAACACTGAAATACTAATAAAAAGAAAAATGACATAGACTGTTAATATTAAACAAAATAGACATTAAAACAAATCACATTAGTAAACATAAAGAGGAATACTTAATAATAATAAAAGATTCAATTCAACAGAAAAGATATAATAATTCTAAATTTATATACCTCTGATAACTTAGTTTCAAAATATGTAGTCAAAACTGACAAAGGGGAAAATAGACAAATTTACAGTTATACTGTGATATAATAAAATTCCTTTGAGGAACTGATTGAATAAGTTAACGTAAAAAATTAATAAAGATGTAAAAGTGTTAGGGGGAAAGGATGTCCTGAGATAATCTCATACAGGCTTTGTGGACTCCACCCCCACTCCAGACTAAAGCCATCAGGACATTGGGAAAGACAAATCCCATCACCACCAAGGGGAGGGTGGCTGGGACCTGAGGGTGGAGTTGGGCAGCCAGGTTGGATATAAAAACCAAACACGTGGGCCTTGCTCGCTCTCTGGCTCGCGATCGCTCGCCTCCTGGCTTCACCACTCCTGGCTGGCGGCCAGCTCTCAGAGCGCCATTTTGGGATTCCTGATCGGCGGATCGGGTAGGACTCATTTAAAACTTTGTCTCCCACTTTTCTCCCAGAGCTGTACATTTCCTCATTTCCCTTTCCCTTGTAAATAAACCTTTTATTAACCTTTCACGTGTGCCTGCAGTAGAGCATTGATAAGTCCTTTTAAGCGCGCGGGTGAGGACCCACAGTCAGGCACCCCGTTTTGTATCGGGGCTGCTCTACAACAGTTTGGCGCCCAGATTTCCTCATTTCCCTTTCCCTTGTAAATAAACCTTTTATTAACCTTTCACGTGTGCCTGCAGTAGAGCATTGATAAGTCCTTTTAAGCGCGCGGGTGAGGACCCACAGTCAGGCACCCCGTTTTGTATCGGGGCTGCTCTACAACAAAAGTACTCTGTTTAGTAAATTTAACTTAATGTACACTCACAGAGGCCTGCACTCAACAACAGCAGCGCACACATTCTTTTCAAACTCACACGGAACATTTAGAATTGATGATATCCTTGATCATAAAATAAGTCAGAATAAATTTCAAAACAATGAAATCATTCAGAGTACACCTTTTAACACAATGCAACTAAGCTAAGAATCAATAACGAAAACAAGGTTTAACTGGAAATTAATCACTATTCTAAGTATTCCATACAGCAAAGAAAATATTACAATAGAAATTAGGAAGTTTTTTGAATTGAATGACAATACCACATATGAAGACTTATGGGAGGGGGGCCTTATGGTGGCGCAAGCGTTAGCACTATGAAGAGATCCGCAGCCACTGCAGCATGAGTTGGATCCCCGGCCAGGGAGCTGACCCACATGGCGCAGCATACCTCTCCTGACTTGCCTGCTGCTCCCCTCAGTAGCGTATTTCAGTCAATCTGCCTGTTCTGCTCCCCACTCTGTCTCTGGTGAATCTTCTCAGACCGCCCCCATACCTCTGACCTGTACCCCAGTTCTTGCATGCATAAATAAATCAATCTTAAAAAAAGACTCTTTCAGGGTCTCCCTGGTGGTGCAAGGGGTTAAGCCCCGCACTATGAAGAATCTGAAGCCTCTGCAGCATGAGTTCAATTCCTGGCCGGCCAGGGAGCAACCCACATGGCAAAACAGACCTCTCCTGTCTCGCCGACTGCTCCCCCCAGCTTGTGTTTCAGTCAGTCTGCCTGTTCTCTTTCCCACTCTGTCTCTGGTTAATCTTCTCATCCCCATGTCTCTGGCCTGTACCCCAGCTCTTATATGCATAAATAAATAAATCTTTAAAAAAAAAAAAAGACTCATGGGAAGTTGCTAAAAGTGTGCCTCAGGGGGAGCGTATGACTTTAAAAGCATATAACAGAAAAGAATAAAGGCTAGACAATTTGAGCTAAGATTTTGTCTCAAGAGTTAGTGAAAGAACAGAAAAGAAAAGAAAAGAAACCCAAAGGAAATAGATGGGGAAAAATAATAAAGACCAGAAATTGGGGAAACAGGTAAGAGAGGATTAGCAAAAACAATAGTGATTTCTATCGGGGCAAAGAAAAGGGTGGGAAGAGCACTCCAGGTCCAGAGGCCAGGAAAATTCTAAGTGGCAGAGGGCATGGGGGTGGGGGTGGTGGGAGGAAGATACACAGCAAGTGACCAAGAGAAGAGAGTAGGTCTGGGGTTCTCAAGGGTACTTTGGGGTGGGGGGTGCTGTATACTCTGAAAAAATCCACAGCCTCCACCTTCCTATGAAATACTTAGTAAAACAACTTTCTCTTATTAGTCCATTAGGTGATAGAGTTTATTTTGAATTTATCCATTATGGGGTTGGGTCTGTTTTGGGTTTGCCTTGAAGATCCAAATCCTACTGTAAGAATGGGTACGACGTGGTATAAAGACAATTCTAAAGTATCTGGTCCCCTCGATCCACATTAAGAGCTAGCTCTGAGTCTATGTGTCAGACACTGTTCTGAGACCTTTACCTGCAGGAGCTAATTCCACCCTTCTAGCAACTCTAGTAAGTGGGGTATCGTCACCCCCTTTATAACTGAAGAAGCTAAGCCTCAGAGAAGTCAGGTGAGGTGGCACCATTCCTCAAAGGCAATAGCATGTTGTCCTTGCCGTCTTACATGATCTCCCCACTCCTGTTTGGATGTCTGACGCCCACTTTCCCTTCCGTGTATATGTGAGACGTTCTCCTTAATTATCTTATTCAAACCACGAACCTAGTTTGAAGTAAATAAATTAAATTCTATGTTTATATATAGAATTTTTATGAGTTAATTGTGTAATGTCTGGATTGAAAGCTTCTGGAAGACAGGAATGCTATTTATATACCTATTCTTCCTAGCACTTAGCACAAGACCTGGAATGTCACAATCATTCACAAGCATTTTTTTTTTAAAGATTTATTTATTTATTTATTTATACAAGCACTGGGTACAGTCAGAAGTGCGGGAGGGTGAGAGAATTCACCAGAGCCAGAGCGGGGAGCAGAACAGGCAGACTGATGAAGTACAAAGTACACTGCTGAGGGGAGCAGCGGGTGCAGCAGGAGAGGTCTGCACGCCATGTGGGACCCTCGCCGGCGGCCGGGGATCGAACAGGTGCTGCAGAGGCTGCGGGCAGCTTCGCAGCTCAGCGCTCAACCGCTGCGCCACCGGGGAGGCCCGCATTCACAAGCATTTTTAAATGAATAAATAAGTTGAGTTCTAAAGATTGCTTGTCATTTGGTGTTGGTTGAATAAACACAGATGTGGACAGAGGAAATAGGACAGAGGAAATACCCCATGTGATGAGGGTGTTTCATATTGAGGAGATATTTTCCAATGGCAGGTGTAAATAGATGAATAATGAACAGGACACTTTTCCATTCCACTCACATATGTTCTATAATGTTTGGGGTAGGGGAAATGACAGTCTCTTAAGAGGCATCACAGGATCTGGCTGTCATCAACCTCATTAATGCGGCCTCTTAAGCAATTTGAGGCAAAATAACTTCCATACCAGTGCCAAGCTTCAAAGAGCAGTTGGAAGGAGGAAGTGAGGGAGTAGTAGAATCAGTAACTAGGTTGCTCAGAGAAGTCTCCTGTGATTAGAAAAAAAAAATGTAGTAATTACACTTTGCAGAGACTCAGAATTCAGCACGCATGATGTCGCATTCATCTGTCTATTTCTTTTTTTTTTTTTTTTAAGATTTATTTATTTATTTATACAAGCACTGGGTACAGTCAGAAGCGCGGGAGGGTAAGAGAATTCACCAGAGCCAGAGCGGGGAACACAGCAGGCAGAAGGACCGAAGTACACTGCTGAGGGGAGCAGCGGGCGGCAGGAGAGGTCTGCGCGCCATGTGGGACCCTCCTCCGGTGGCCGGGGAGCAGCCGGGGATCGAACCAGTGCTGCAGAGGCTGCAGGCAGCTTCGCAACCCAGCGCTCAACCACTGCGCCACCGGGGAGGCCCTCATCTATCTATTTCTAATGGTAAGAGATGAAATAAAAATAAATATGAATGGATGTAGCAGAAGGTAATTTAAGACCTTCCCTGAGATGAGTAAAGAAATTCTCTCTCCAGAGGGAGAGGTAGATAAAGTGTCCTCCAGCACAAAAACTGCAGAGATTGTTATAATTCCCTGTAAAAGTAGGAGCAAGAGAAAAGCCGCAGAAGACGTGTCAGGAGTTTGTGAACAGTCTCAGAGCCTGGGCCTGGGTGACGCTTGAAAGAGATCAAGGAAGCACTCTGCTGGCCTTTGACTTAGAGTGATGGCGAGTGGAGGAGCTCTGATGATGGGAAGTGGTCAAGGGGTGGTGGGGAGGGTGCGCTATGGAATCGGGCAGGTGGAACGCAGAGCCTGCCTCCTTTCCTTCCTCCAGTGTAAGTTTGTGCAACTCCAGACTCTCTAGGCCCCAGCTTCTCCCCTGTGAAAGGGACACAATAGCTTAGAGGAAGACAATGATGGATGTGAAGGACTCAACATGACACAGAGCAAACACTCAGCAAATTGAGACCATAATTTCTGCTCTTACAGCTACTCAAGACCATGGTTGTAAGTCAGTCATGGGAGTAAGTCACTTGCCTTGGGTATGAAGAGCGTAGATTGGTTCACTCAGCCTCCTCAACTTGGGTCTCACCAGAATCTAGATAATTACAAACTGCATTCTCCACACTCCCTCTCAAGCAATACTCTGAAAACAAATTAGGTCTGGTCAATTGGATGTACTTGCCTAGACTTGGAAGATGGAGGATATTTCCTGCTTCTTTTCACTGTACATTGTCATTAACAAGCAACACAATGGAGACATGAGGGTTTTTTTGCCTTTTGGAGTTCATTCTCCAACCTCCTGGCTGTTTGGAGGCAGTGTGGCTTCCTGGTATCATGAGCACAGTCTCACCAGTGGATTCCTGCGCCCAGTAACCCTACCAATGGCCTCAGAGGTGGTAGCTCCCCTAGTGGGTCAGTTCTGCAGTATTTTGGGGTCATCTCTGGAAGCCCAAGTCATCTCTGGAAATTCGAAGTTCTAGAACCCCTATCAGTGATATCATCAATACCTCAAGCCCCCTCTAGAGTCACTGTGTTTCCTGCAGCAATGCAGGACTGCATCACTAGATGCTTGCATTTCTTCTCTTCACAGTCTCAATTATATACCACACTTTTTACAAGTGGTTAAAAAAGTTTAAAACATCATTCACTTCACCTGGTAATATTACTTTTTCTGAGTTATTCACATCTGCAGAAAGCCCAATCAATCACCCCATCTTTATATAACTAAGCCTAAGCTGGTGACAGCTGCCCAGACTGCAGCTAGGATCCTGGAAAGGGAATAACCAGAGTGGGAAGAATCAGAATAGAGCAGACTCCAAACTCTCAAGCCAAAAAAGTGAAGCTCAGTCAATACTGATGTTCTTATGGAGTATCTAAAAATGGAGAGGCTGAAAGAAAAGAAATTCTCCAGTATTGCCCCCAGAGAGATGGAGCTCTGATGACTCAATATGAGTCTTCCATTCGATTTGGCAGATTCAGCTTTTTAATCAGGAATGACTCACCATACCTCTTTGGTGACTGTATTGCTTAAAAAATAGTCACCCTCTGCAATGGACTCAGATCCTACTTGGAAAGAGTCAGGAAAGAAACATATTGTGCTACCTTCTCATCTTAGCTTAGCTTCCCTTTTGATAAAAGATCATGCTGATCATCTGATAGCTATGCTACTGTGGTTATCATTTCTCTAGCTCCTGGGACGCTACTAAGTTAGCATTCTAGGCTGGTTATCATTTCTCTAGTTCCCGGGATGCTACTAAGTTAGCATTCTAGACTTTATTTTTGACCTTTTGTGAGTCTGAAATCATTTTATCAACGGCTCAGTTCTTCAGAGCCTGACAATGATTCTACGGAGAACTGAGAGGAGTTTGTGAATCTATACACCTGAGTCAAAACCGTAGCTCACTGCTGAGAAGCATGTCAGCCACGGAGACCTTCTTCTACCCCCAAAGCCTGACCTGTATTCCCAAGTGGATGAACACATTCCCATTGGCCAATTCTTCATTATTTTCAGGTGGCTTCTTCAATACCATTTATTGGTATTTAATCAGGAGACAAGTTGGAAAAGCCAGGGTCTTGGCTTCAAGAGTTAGAGCTTCAGATCCTGACTCTGGCTTCCTGGCTCTGTGATCTTCGACATTTCATTTCTCTGTGTTGCACTTCCCTAATCTATAAAAAGGAGCCAATAAGAATACCTGCTTTGTATGGGATGAAAGATATGCAAGGAAAATACACTCAATAAATTGTAGCACTCAATAAAATTTGTGTAGCCACATTGTTGTACTCATCCTTATGTCACACACCTACTTTTTTTTTTGCTTGCTCCAAAACCAGACTCCGCCCCTCAGCCTTTTTTTCCTAAGGAGACCTCCATTTTTAGAAGTAAGAAGAGAAAGTTCTTTTGATTAGACAACTTTCCTCAACCACTATGTAGGCAGATAGGGTCATGTGACTGAATTCTAGCCAATGGAACGTAAATGAAAGTGATGTGTGCTATTTCCTAATCAAAGCTTGAAGAAGTATTTTTGCTTCTTCCATTCTCTCTGTCCCCTTCCATTAGAGAGATGCAGCTGCAGCTATGTCATGCCTCTAGAGGGTGGCTGTATTAGTCTAGGTTCTCCAGAGAAACAGAACTAATAGGATGTATAGAGAGAAAGATATTTGCTATCGGGAATTGGCTCACATGATTATGCAAGCTATAAAGTCTGAAATTTGCAGTTGGCAAGCTGGAGACCCAGGAGAACCTATGGTATAATCCATTCTGAGTCCAAATATCTAAGAACCAGAAGCGCCAGTGGTGTAAGTCCCAGTCCCAGACCCAGTTCAGTGACAGAAGACTGGTGGTCCAGCTCAAAGTCACTCAGGCAGAGCGAAAATTCTTACTCAGCCTTTTGTTTAGGCTTTCAAGGGATAGGATGAGGTCCACTTTGAGGACAGCAATCTGCTATACTCTGCCTACTGATTAAAATGTTAATCTCATTCTGGAACATTCTCAGAGGTACACCCGGAAATAATGTCCTACCTGTAGCCCAGTCCAGTTGATTTAAAATATTGATATAAAAAATATCCCTCAAAGTGGCAGAATCACAACATGACAGGAGTCCAGGTAACATGATGGCCAATCAGGAGAAATGCTTGCCAGACAGAGCATCTTCCCTGGACTCTTCTGTGGGTGAAAAATAAACTATTATGTTGGAGTCATTATCCAGACACTTCGGCTATCACACAGAACAGACATTGCTGAGAAACCACTCATTTAGCAAAATTGTGCATTCAAAATAATGCTTTTAGGAATATTAGGATTATAGTCAAACCACTAAAAATTTATGTAACTTTGTAACGAGAGCAGTAACAAAAACAGTAATGGGCACCTTGAGAGACAACTTGGACTATCCAGGCAGGAAGCTCAGCACGGTTAGAGGTTGCCTCAAGGCTATTAAAATGCTATTAAAAAATAATTGTGGGAAATTATAGAGACAGAGAACAGATTAGTTTTTGCTAGGGATGAGGGAGGGTGGTGGAAGGGGCTGGGCCTGGCTGTGGAGAATAGCACCAGGGAGTCTCGGTTAATGGAACAGTTCTGTTGCTTAGTTGTGAAAGTAGCTACACTAATCAACTTGTGATAGAACTGCATGAGTGTACACACACATACACACTCACACGCACACACAGCACGTAAAAATCTGGTAAAATCTGAATGAACTCTGTAAATTGTACCAATGACCCACATCAGTTTTCTGGTTTTGATATTGTGCTATAGTTGTGCAAGATGTCACCACTGAAAGCAGAATATCTGAATAGACACTTCTTCATAGAAGACATCCAGAGGACAACAGGCACTTGAATGAAGGCTCATGTCACTTGTTAGCAGAAAAATACAAATCCCAACCACAACAAGACAGCATCTCACACCAGGAGGATGGCCCATATAAAAAAGGCCAGCTACAACAAGTGTTGGTGAGGGTGTGGAGCAAAAGGAGCCCTTGTACACTGTTGGTGGGATGTGGACGTTCTACCCCCTATGGTAAAGAGCAGGAAGATTTCTCAAAATATTAAAAATAGATCTACAATATGATCCAGCAACTCCACTCATAAGGTCTTATTCAAAGCATATAAAAAAACACTAATTTGAGAAGATCTCTGCACTGCTATGCTGTATAGCACTATTCCCAATAGCCAAGCTATGGAAACAACTTACCCAACTTGCCCAACAGCAGATGACTGGATAGCGAAGCCAGGGTGTACATGCACAATGGAATCCACTCAGCTGTAAGAGGAAGATGGTGCAATTGTATGGGGAACATAACCAAAATGAAAATGCATACATTGTACAAAGATGAAAAATGATGTAAGAATTATATAAAATAAAATATTTTAAAAAAAAGAAGTAATAGATGAACTACTTTGTCTTCAAAAAAAAAAGAGGAAGATGGAATCTTGCCATTCGCGGCACTATGGATGGAACTGGAGGAGTTTATGCTAACAGAAATAAATCACAAGAAGAAAGACAAATCCAGATGAGTTTCTGTAGAATATAAAGAAACAAAGCAAAGGAACAACAAAACCAAACAAACCCTTGGCGACTGACTGCAGAGCTGAGGTGGTAGGGTGGGAAGGAAGAGTATGGAAGAAAGGACAGAGGCTGGTTTGGTGAGCTGTGGTGGAGGTTGTTAGTGCTCGGTAGTGGGTGAGAATCGCAGCATGCATTTGAGTGACAAGCACTCCCAAAACATATGCAGTGTTTTAAGCCATCACTACCTCAATTAAAAATAAAAAATGTTGTGGCGCAAGGGGTTGAATATCGCACCATGAGGCAGTCCACAGCCTCTGCAGCACGAGTTCGATCCCCGGCCAGCCAGGGAGCAACCCACATGGCGCAGCAGACCTCTCCTGACTAGCTGGCTGCTCCCCTCAGCAGTGTACTTCAGTCAGTCTGCCTGTTTTGTTCCCCGCTCTGTCTCTGGTGAATCCTCTCACCCCCTGCATATCTGGCCTGTACCCCAGCTCTTGTATGCATAAATAAATAAATCTTTTTTAAAAAATGTTACCATTGAGAAACTGGGTGTTGGGTATATATGGAAACTCCAGTACATTGTTTTTTGATTTACTACAAATTTATAATTATTTCAAAGTCAAAAGTTCTTAAAAAATGGGCACAAATGATGGGTGTAGTTATAGAAATAAGGCAGATGGCAATGAGCCCAGGGCCCACTGCCCTGCATCTAGACGCCAGAGGAAGAAACGCCCTGTCCTAAGCAGGGCTGGGAGCATAGCTGCCTGGGAAGGAAGCCCCAGCTGCTGCTCTTAGTTTTGTTTCTTAACAAACACCTGAAAGAGTTCTTGACTGTGTCGCAGCCAAGGGCCGGGCCCTACCTGTGGAAGGTTATAATTCTGTTCCTGCTGTCCTAGCAACTCTTCTCGCAAGGTATGTTAATATTTTCTATTTGATTTACTTCTGTTTTTGTCCAGGCTCTCATTAGCCATTTACAAAGTTATACTTGATTGCAAGCAGGATGCTTTCAAAACATGAACCGCAACAGATTTAAGGGACAGAATTTTCTGGAAAGTTTTAAATGCTGTGGAGAACCCGCCCTTTGTGTTGTTTAGGGGTATTTCTGCAGTTTGCTGATGTCCCTGTGCATAAAGGAATACAAAAGGCTCAACCAACAGAGCTGGTGACTGTGACAGCTCTCCACTCGGAGGGCTCAAGCATCAGTGCTTCAGAATCACCAGGGGCTTCTGTTTAAAATGCAGGTTGCCTGGTTTCCCATTCCCAGAGTTCCTGAAAGGATGGTCTGGAACTGAGGTCCAGGAATATGCATACAGCAAGCCCCCAGACCTCGGCACTGCCTGTCTGAGAATCACTTCTTGAAAAGCACAGGCTTAAATCCTCAACCAGGAGGAGTCTGGCACACTAGCTTTTAAATATTTAGTTGAGTTCCTGCTGAAATAGTGAGCTGTGCAAGAGATGAGTAGAGGCAATGCTTCAAAGACATGCTGAGCAAACTGAAAAGCAAGTTAAAGCACCGTGACATTGCTTCCCAAAGCCAGGGATTGACAGCAGCTGACAGTCACGCTGGTACCAGTGTCACCTTTGAATACAAAGAACATTGGGTATTTCGACTTATTTCAGCAGGGATAAAATGTTAGGGAGGAAAATATTCCCTTAACTAGTTTCCTCCTCTGAAAGTTATCAGTGTAGAATAGTAATGCCTTATATTCATGCATCAGCTTTCCAATCGCAACTTATTTGAAGCCATCACAAGAGAGATCTTTTAAATCATCTGCCCTTAGGCAAATGGTCCATTTCTTAAAATTCCTTGAATGCTGAAAAAGATACTTTTGAAAAACACATCCCAAGTCCTTTACGGCTTAGAAACAGTTCCTTCTCAGGATGTTAGATGTCCAGTTGAAGTAAAAGCGAATATAAATGAAGGCAGAAAGCTGGTTAACAGATGCTTAAGATATCAAGGAAAAATCTATGCCCATGTGACACTGTGTTGCATTTGAATTAATAAATTTACCAAATACTATTCTGAGCACTCATTTAAGAACACTCTGCCTGGTCCATTCTTAGAATTTGGGTTTAGGATATTCTTGGTTTCTCAAGGACAAAGACTAAAGTTCATTGGTTTTGTATATTCCACATTTAGTACATTATGCACTGTATAAAAGATGTTCAGTAATGTTGAAAGAATGTACATTCTCTTTCAGAATGCACTAAGCAGGGGAAGCCACAGGGTGGGAGTGAGGGGTAGTAAGGAAAAGCATCACCTCACTTCTTCCTCGTTTTACTCTGAAACCTATAGTTCTAGTAATTTGTTCAAAACCAAAGAGTTATCTGAGCTAGATGACATGGTGATGGAACTTCTGTAGGCCAGAGGGAGCAGTAGGAAATCAGAGCCAACAAAGACTCTTCCGCCTGAAAAGCTGGAGGTCTTCTGCAAATAAAAACAAGTTCCAAGGCAGGCTGCTCTAACTAAGCACTTGGATCAGCTATAATTTAAGGTAAATGAAAACAGTACCAATTGCACCAGATCCTTGATTTTAATTAGTCCATTGAATCTACACAACTATCCTATGAAATAGAAATTACTATCTCTGAGGAACTGCATTTGTGCTTGCTCATTATTGTATCCCCCACCATCATCACCTCTTGATGCCCAAATGATAGTGTTTCAGCTTCCTTTCCCATTTAGACCTGACAGAATGGCTCCACCAAAGAAAGGTGGGGAGAAGAAGGGACATTCTGCCTTCAATGAGGCTATGACCAAAAAATACAATATCGACGTTCACCAGCACATCTATGGGGTGGGGTTCAGGAAGCAAGCCCCTTGATCACTCCAAGGGATCTGGAAATTTGCCCTGATGGAAATGAGCATCCAGATGTGCACGGACCCCAGGCTCAAAGCTGTCTGGGCCAAAGGAATAAGGAACATCAGTTCAAGTCTCACTTTTGTCACTAAGAAGCTTCCTGATCTAGGGCAAGTTACTTGTTCCTCTAAATCTCAGTTTGCTCATCTATAAAATGCCACTCATAATAATCATTTTATAGGGTAGCTTTGAGAATAAAATAAAATTACATAAAACACAGCATCTAGCACATTCTATATGTTCAAAACTACTGGTTATTATTGATTAAGGAGAAACAGGAGTTCACAAGCTTTTTCTGTAAACTAAAATCAACAGTTAAAGGGGTACCTCTCTCCCTGATCTCAACCAAGGGGCTCAAGCCAAAGAGCTAAGACACAGCTGGACTGGTCCTGTGAAGAAGATGCAATAACAACAAAAAATGTTGTCTCTTGGCACATCAGTAACTTCAAAGAAAGACAGACTGAAAGGAGTACTGTTAAAACTCCCAGTTCCGAGAAGATAAAACTCTAAATAGATAGGGTACATTTAAAAACCCTCCTGGTTTTCTTCAATGCATAGACAACATCAAATAGATACATTAACTGGACACCTGCCCAGACTTTTTCTGTAAAAGTCCTTGAAAATGTGAAGTGTTTTCCTTGCAGACTGTATGAAATTCTCATTGTGAGACTCAAGAAGTTGGGCAACTTTCCCAGAGCTATCCAGAGGCGGTTCCGGGTCCTGAGTCTTGATTCTTTAATAAACTCACTTAATTTTTGCTTGCCTCAATTTATTAAAGCCAACAAGGGTCAGATGGAGATACTTTTGACAGTGAGAGCTATGCAGCCTCTGTCCTAACTACGCATCTCTCTAATGTCATGGACACCCAGCCATAAGTACGTAAGTGACTGACTAATATATAAATGAACTAGCACGGCTATGTTCCAATAAAACTTTAATTGTGAAACAGGCAAAGGACTAGATTTGGCCTGAGATCATAGTCAGCTGTCCCTGGACAAGGAAGACCTGGTTGGTTTCATAGCACTGTAATACTACTTTGTATTATTTTCCCTATTCTTTTGCACACTCTAATATTGATACTCAAGAACTGAAAGTTAGTATTCCTCTCCTTGCTTCTTCCTTAATGAACATGAAATATCATATCTCAGGGAAAAAATGGCTTCCAACCCTATCCTTTCAAGCTCATGGTTTCAAAACCCAAGGGAAAACTAAATTTGCCAAGTGTCTTTACAGACTCAACCTATTCAATCTTTTTGAAGAGCCACTTTACATTCTCAAATGTGCTAACAGGTCTCACAAAATTAGGTTTATTATCTGTGCCACCCCAAGTTATCCTGCATTCCCCATTATTACCTTCGAGCTCTACCAGTTGTGGATCTTAACATGGCAGCTGGCATCCCCTGATATTAATACCAAGTGCTCACCCAGTTGCAGCTCCTTCCAACTTAAGGAAATACCCCTCTGGGGCATCTCAAAATAGTTTTCTACAATGAAGGTAAAGTAATTGCGTGACCTCCCAGAATTTCATTCCCCAAAACTTACAAATTTAAATTTACTATTTATGGTCAATGTGATCAGGTTGCTTTTTTGGGAAAAGTTCATCTACTGGGGTATGGAGGCTGCGGCAGAATGGGGCAGGAGTCAGCAGGGAAACTGGATTAAGAGGCGATTGAAGTCTTCCAAGCACCCTTGAGAAAATCCTGGCAACAACAGTAGAGGGGTGTGTGGGAGACAAGGGGAGGGAAGAGTATGGAGAGGAGAAGAAAGTCCAGAAGTCTCCAAGGAGCTGGTTCTAAGGACTAGAATGGGGAGGGGAAGGGAAAAGTCATCTTCCAGAATTACTCCCTGTAGTATTTGAACTCTTGAATGATTAAGTACTGTTTTTTATTCATC